TGGACGCACGCATCCTGCACTGGGAGCAGGGCCTGTGCAACCTCTCGCTGGTCTGCACCGTAGCGGGCGCCAGCAATGTCTCCTACAACTGGTCCTGCACTGGGGGTCCCCCGGAAGCCCTGAGCCCTGAGCCCTGGCCGCACCTGCAGGTCCACGGGGACGCCGACCCTGCTGCTGCAACGCGAGCAACCCGGTGAGCTGGAGCACGGCCAGCACCGTGTTGTGGGAGTGGCAGCCTGCCGCGCTGCGGCCCCAGGTAATTTGCCCTCAGCTCCATAAAAGCAGGATTTAGGGGGTGTGCAAGCCACACCGCTTCCAGTCCTCTCTTGGGGCCCTTCGTCTCCCTGCCTGGGCCACTGAAACTGCAGAGGATGTCACGCTGATGCCAAAACGTGCCCCGCTTCCCCTCCTGGGAAAGGAATCGAGATAGCTGATTACACGGGTGATGTGACCAGGGCTGAGGTTTCCTGGCCAGGTCCGTCTTCTGCGGGCTGTGATGGAAATTGTGTTCAGCAATGGCTCGAAGCTCTGCCCTGCATCGAAGGTCTCCCCTTCTCCTCTCCTTCCTCCCCAGGGCTTATCAGCTTCGTTCCATGGTGGGCAGTGGCCGTGTCCCTGGGGCTGGCACTGGCCATCTCCGTCGCCCTTGTCACCTGCTACTGGTGGAGGAAGCGGGGAAAGGACCCCCCAAGAGGTTTGTCCTTGGGGTCGGTGCGGTAGCTCATGGGACAGGCAGCCGTGGGGTTTTGGCTGTGCGGCCCCTGCCCTCCTCCTGGCTGCTGTCATGCTCCTAACGCTCTCCGTGCTGTTCCTGGGGTTCTCCCTCCTCCTGGGGCTGATGCGGGATAAGCCACCGGGCACTGTCACCCCCCTGCCACGTGCTGCACAGGGCAACATCCCTGTCTTTGCCCATCCCTGCTGGTGCAGGGTGGTCCAGGTTGATGAGATAGATGAAGCATCTCAGCAGCCCAAGCATTGGTGTCCAAACCTGGAGGCCTCGTCCCATGGGGTCTAGAGGATATTCTGAGCTGGAGCATCCCTCCCCAGCCCCTGCCAGGTGCCAACAAAGTAAAACCTCCCAGTTGCCAAGGGACCTCTTTCTCCCTCTGCTTTGCTTTGCTTTGCTTTGCTTTCTTTGCTTTGAAGCATCTCAGCAGCCCAAGCATTGGTGTCCAAACCTGGAGGCCTCGTCCCATGGGGTCTAGAGGATATTCTGAGCTGGAGCATCCCTCCCCAGCCCCTGCCAGGTGCCAACAAAGTAAAACCTCCGCCAAGCCAAGGGACCTCTTTCTCCCTCTGCTTTGCTTTGCTTTGCTTTGCTTTGCTTTGCTTTGCTTTGCTTGAGGGCTGAACCCCCCCCAGTCTGGGGGCTCTAACACGTCAGCCATCTTACACCGACCCTTCAAACTCCCCCAGGACACGTCGAGCAGACGCTGACCGTCTACGAGGACGTGGGCAAAGCCCAAACCAGCCAAGATGCTGTGAGTGCCGGAGGTGTCCCTGGGCGTCCCCTCCCTGCGCTGCTTGGAGAGATGGGACCTCTGTTTGGAAATGTCTGTCACCCTGGGTTGCATCCTTTAACCAGCCTGGGGTCGCTTTCTCCCCCAGAATAGGACCAGTGAGGCCACCGTGGGAGAAAACACCATCTACGCTGTCATCTGCACCAACACGAAGGTAGGGTCAGTCCTGTTTGGGTGGGGGGGACTGGAGCTGCTCCATGGGCTTGGCTGTGCAGTCCCTGGGCTGGATGTGTCCATGGCAGCTGCCAAGACCACCCCTTTGGCCCAAAATTTGTTTTTCTTTGTGCATCTCGACCGTTTTTTCCCTGGCAGGCACCCAGCTGTGCTCAGGAGCCCAAAAGCTGCACCATCTACTCCACGGTTCAGCCCACGAGGAAGGTGAGGTTGCCCCACCGTGATCCCGGCCCCTCTGCAGCGGCACAGAAACCGGGGTCCCCTCGGTTCGTCAAGTGGGTGCTGGGTTCACCGTCCTGCTCATGCCTAATGGCAGGTTCTCGCTCTGCTCCACAGCCGCCTTCTCTCAAGAGGAAGAGGCTGGACCCAGCTTTGGTTTCCACTGCCTATGCAGAGGTAACGGGCACCGGACCGGTGGGGAGATGAGCCCTGGGTATCTCCAAAGCTCATCAGCTTTTTGGGGCCGTGGTGTGATAAACCCCACCCATTTCCCTGTAGGCTACAGGGGGGTCTAGGCACCGGTGCCCCCCGTTGCAGATCTCGCCCCCAGCTCCTGCTGGCCACCACCTCTCCTAGTGCCTCGGCTGCCTCAGCAAGACCTTCCCTTCCCTATGGGCCTCTTCTCCCGGAGCACCCAGAGCACCTCCAGCACCCACCAGGACCCCACCTGGCAAAGCCAGGGTCTCGCTTGGGATGGAAACAGTCAGACATGTGTTTTTGCAAGGATGCAAACCCCAGCTGCACCTTGGAGGCTTTCCTGTGAGGGAAGGAGGACAGAGTCGGTGATGGAAACCTGTCTTCGGAGGAGATGGATGTGAAATTGGACAGGCGGGGTCGTGGGGGAAGAGGATACGTGTGATGTGTGTGTGTTTAGTGCCAGCGTGTGATCTTGTGGGTTTTTTTAGGTCTTGACAGGTTCGATACACCTCGGGAATTTATTTGTAGGTGCGAATATAAGCTGAACTGCATGAGGCAATTGTGGTGCTTGTTTAATTAGCTTAATTGGCTATTTATAGCCTGAAACGTACCTTGGGCACAGGCGGGGAGTGGGAATTGCCTTATTTGTGGCTCGGGAACCTCTGAAGCAAACGGGGTCTCATGCGGAGATGCACTTTGCAAAGTTTCAGCCGTGTGTGTCAGGTAGGGGGGAGGTGGCCACGGGCATCGGCTTGCGGCAGGACGGTCCCTGCACCGGCTGGGCTGGACACGGCCCCGGGTGCCCCACGGCGAGCTGAGACCGGAGACGCCGCCACGTCCCTTCCCACCTAAGTTATCCCATGCTCCTACAGCACGAGTGGCCCCGGGAGGAGGAGGTGGAGAAAGAGGGGCTCCGGCTTCAAAGATCTTCCCAAAGGCGAGATCAAGGGCTTTTCTTTGGGATTAATATGAAATGTGGCACTTTGATGGCAGCATGGGGAGCAGTAGCAGCTCCACAACGCTCCCCTCCCGCCCGAGTCCCCGGATCAAAATAGCTTTGTGGCTGCTCCCTGTGAAAAGAGCATTAATTGGGATCATTAACCGGGAGCTGCGCTGGGAGGCTGGCTTGGGGAGGGAGGGGGTGTCTGGCTGCCACAATGGGGGAATTTAGGGGGCCGGGCTGGCGCGGATGGGGGCTCAGGCACAGCGTGCCGGCACTGCTGCCAGAGCCAGGCTGGTTTATGCCATCGCGAGGCCCATCCTCTGCTTTTCACGATGTGCAGGTGTGAATCGAATACGTCTTGCACTGTAACGGCATCCCCCTCCACACATAGCACTCGGCATTGATGGAGAGGCGGCAGCGGAGCCTGTGGCTGGCTGAATTCAGTGGGAAAAGCTCAGGCACGATGGAGGGAATGGAAATCCTTTGGCGCAGGCGCTGGGGATGTCGTGGCAGTCCTTGCTGGGCTGTGGCTGCTGCCTGGGAGCGGGGGCTAAAGCAGGAGCCGCATCTCAGCCCTTTGCAGCCCAAAATGCCGGGTCCCCGCGCTCCTGACGAGTGGAAACGTCTGAAGGCGACAGCACAGAGCCTGGGGGCTGCCGCATCCATCAGCACATCGGGCTCCTGCTGAAGCCACGCTCCATCACAGCGCTGTAATTTATGCTAATGACCTGCTTTTGCATATTGGAGATAATTTGCAGCACTCGCTGCAAGCGCTGAGGCAGCACTTTGCTCCCTGCCAGGGAAGTTTGCTTTCCCATCTCCACCGGTTTCTATCAGAGCGGTGTAATCGGGTGCGGGGACAAGCCAGCGGGTGCTTGGCACCACGGTGCCACCGGATCGGTGCCAGTGATCCAGCCACAGCATCATCGCGTGGCTGCTGGCGTGCTCGCGCTAATGTCTCCCCGCGCTGACATCGGATCTCCTCCCTGCTGGACGGGGACTGCTCAAGGGCTGAAATTAAACTGGGTCAGGGCTCAGCGGGTGCCACTGTCGCCCTTTGTTCACGGCCAGGGTCAGCCCCGGTGCTCCTTGCTCACAGCCGGGGAGGCGTGTGGGAAGATGCCGGCGGCTGTTTGCCCCCGACGTGGGGGCTGCGCTGGCTTCGCTGCCCCGTGCATCCTTTGGCCTGTGCCGAACAAAGGCCCTGAAATGTTGTCTTTCAGGAAGGAATCCAGGCCGTAATTAAAATCCGTCATTTTAAGCATCTGCCCTGGTCAGAGGCCAGCGCGCTGGGGCTGCAGCACGTGCTTCAGCATCAGGGAGTCATCCCTCCCATCTCCTTCCCACCTGCACTGATCGCCTGCGAACCGGGGTCACGGGGACACCCCCAACACCGGTGCCGGTGGTCCCCGCTCAAGCTGGGGCTGCTTGATGGCATGCCCGGGGGCCAGACCTTGGCGAGGACACAGACCTGGGTTTGCAGGTGGAGAAATGGGAACCCTGTGCGTTGGTTACAGCAGCCGTAAAGGGGAGATGTGACCCCTGGGGTCTGCGTTTCATTTACCATCAGGATGGCGGGGCGACTCTGATGGGGGGGTCGGGGGCCCATGGGGTGCTGTGCATGCTGTCCCCAGGGAGGCTCGGGGCTGCTGCCTGTTCTCGCCCATGGGGTGGTGTCGCGAGCCCCCTGCAAATCCTCGGGGTTTTGCAAACCCTGGGCGGTGACTCATTCTCGAGGGAGCCCGGAAGCGAAGGAGGAACTTTGGTGGGTTCATGCCGTCTCCCAGCCGTGTGGCTGCCCCGCCAGCCCCTTTCCTGCAGAGCCCCCCCAGCCCCGGGTTTAGGGACGGTGGCAGGCAGCTGCAGGCTTGGGGGGGTCCTCAGTGAGCAGCTGCCCGGCGAGGGGGATTTCCACCCCGGGGTTTGGGTGCAGACACAGAGAGAAGATGGCGGCAGGGCTTACAATGGTGCTCCTCTTCCTCCTCTTCATCACGCAAGGTATGGCGGTGGGTTCCCCCGGGGCGAGGGTGCTGGGCTGGGGGGAGATGGCTTTGGGGACGGTGGGGGACCTTGGGGATGTGCCCGTGGGTAAACCCTTCCTGTCCCCACTCTCTCTCCCAAGCTTTTCCCATCCCAGCGCTGTGCCCGAGGTGCGACCCGCTGGTTCCCTTCCCGTGGGAGCCCCCGGCATTGCCACCACCAAGCTGGGGGTGAGGGGCTGCTCTGGGTGAGCCTGGAGTGGGGAGAGGACCCCAAAAATGAAAGCAAAGGAAAAAAAACTTCACCAGAGGATCTGGGTGGTCCCACGCTCAGAGCGGGGAGGCAGAAATCCCGCCACCAGCTGTAGGGCTTGTCCCTGCAACATGCCTCCAAGGCTGAGAGAGCGCAAAGGCATTAGGAATTAGTGAGCAAATGGGTTATTTGCATTTTCCACATGTCTGAGAGCAATCGAGGTCCCCAGGCAGGAACGAGTCCCAGGGAGGGGCGGGCTGTGTCCGGCTGGCCAAGCAGCACCAGTCTCTGCTTTCTCAGCAGCCCGGGCGCAACACAATCCATCATCGAAGGTGGTCGGGGCTGTTCATGGGGTGGCGTATCTCAGTCCCAGACTGCAAAACCAGATCTCCTACCACCAAATCCACTGGCGACGCAACAACTCCGTGAAGATCGCCAGCCGGGACAGCAGTGCGAAGGTCCAGTACCCCAACAGCACCTACAAGGGACGCCTGGAACTCTTCCCCAACAACACACTAAAAATCAGCTCCCTGCAGAAAACTGACAGCAGCATGTACCAGGTGTACCTGGAGGATGAGGTGGGCAAGGAGCACATTGAAAGCATCCTCCTGACAGTGTACGGTGAGCTGGGAGGACGGGAGGGTTGTCCCAGAGCCCCGTGAGGGGACAGGGAGACTGTGACATCCCGCTGCCTCTTGCAGATCTGGTCCCGAAGCCCACTGTGAATGCCAAAGTGATCGGGGATGACCCGGCATGGTGCAAAGCCACCCTACAGTGCTCGGTGGGGCTCGAAGGGGTGACCTATGAGTGGATCCCCCCCAGCAAGCTCCCGCTGGAGGGTGTGGGTGCCTCTGAGCAGCATGTCTCCTTCGACCCCTTAATAGAAACCTACATCTGCAAAGTCAGCAACCCTGTCTCCTCCAACAATGCCTCGTTGACCTACAGGTACCCCTGCTCCTGGACAGGTACTGCCCACGGCGCGCGCACGAGATGGCAAAACTCGGGTGGGGTGGGCTGCAAGGTGGCCTTGGCTTTGGAGGGTCCCCGGAGCAGTGGCAGTGACCCTGAGGACAGCAGGTCCCTGCAAGGCTGGAGGTGGCCAATGGGTCAGGAGTGGTGGGTCCCTTTTCCCCCTGCACCATGGGCTGGTGGGTGGGAGGAGCCCACCTGGGGAGGGGGTCGGGGTGTCCCCTGCCAGGGCTGGGCAGCCCACAGCCCTCCCCACGCCCCGGGTCTCCCTCTGCCTCCAGGTGAGTTCTCCGCTGCTGCATCCTGCACCACCACCAGCATGCTGGTGGCCCTGGGACACCTCGTCCTCCTCCTCATTCTGGCTTAAGGACGCTCTGTGGTTGACATCTCTCCTCATCTCATCACCCCCCGCTGCAGGACCAGCACCTAGATGAGGTCCCCAAACCCACTGGATGCAGGAAGATGTGGCTGCTCAAGCAAAACATTAAACCAGTGTCTGTTACACCAGCACTCACTCAGCCTCATCCACAGCCACCTGCTTCCCGCCAGCCCAGGCTCTGGCCGCTCTGCCACTGCCTTCAGGGTAGCTCTGTGCCTCAGTTTCCCTCCTCACCTTTCCTGCTTTGCTTTACTCAGAGGTCATGTTCTCTAGATCTGAACATAACAGAGATGAAGTCTGTTGCAATGGTGTTTCGAGAACCCAGGCAACCTAAATTGCTAAATTCATGGTTAACTTCTTGGAAATCTTCCTCTCCCCAGCCCTGAGAACTGTGGGGAGACTCAATCCGAGCCTTTCCCGGTGCTCGCCGTGGACCTGGGGGGTCCTCGGCCATTGCCTGCTGTCAGCCTCATCCCTTTATGGGACCGATGAGCAGTGCGACAGTGCAGGATGGTGCACGACGTGTTTAGCCTGAAACCAGTGACACCAGCATGGGTGCAGCTGGCTGCTGCCCAACCTCCAGGTCTGGAGCACCGGGGCATCTCGAGGGGGCAGAGCTGAGGTGGCACCTTTGGCTTTCTCTGCAAGGGAGGGTTCGGCAGGGCGAGTTCAGTCTCTGCCTTCAGAAATGTCTGCGTGTACATTAAATTAAATTTAACCTTAAACCCCACATTTTTAGGTGCCTGTTCTGCATTCTTGTCTGGGCTGGGGTTGGCTGCAGCGGGTGCTCGGGGACTGGGGGGATGATGGAGGGAGCCACGTTTCCCCCCAACACCCTTGCTGGGGACAGGAGCCCTTCCACAGTTGTCCCCCATGGGAGGAGCCCCTTCCGGATGGTGGGACATGGGCCCATTGGGGTGGGAGGATGTGTCTCGTGAGTGATGGAGATGGTCCCTCAGCCTGCAAGGAGGGATGGGGACATGTCTCAGGGCCACCGCAGCCCTGGGACACTGCTGCTCCTGCCAGCTCCAGCAAACCAGCCCAAGAAAGAAAAGAACTGGGCTCTACCCTCCGTAAAATCCGAGGCATCACTTTCCAGAGCCATCTTTAAGCAAAGACTCCTAAGGCCAGATTCATCAAAGGGTCAACAGGGACCTCGCCAACTCATTTGAAAAATCAGTAACGAGCACAAGTCGTTCCAGCTCCCAGGTCTAATGAGTGGCTCGGGGTAATTCCTGCTGGGTGGCTGGTGGTCTTAGCACCAATGTATATTTTTGCAGAAATCCCCCCTCTTGAAAATATTTGGTTGGGTCTTGGTCTGTTCCCATATGGAGGTTTGGGGCTCTTTTGCCTCTGACAAAATCCAGGATAACTGCTGAGCACCAACATCATCATAAAACCTCCTGCGATGAATAAATACGGAGGCTGGTGCCGTGCCTTGGTCATCTTTCCAGGAGGTTTGGGGCTCTTTTGCCTCTGACAAAATCCAGGATAACTGCTGAGCACCAACATCATCATAAAACCTCCTGCGATGAATAAATACGGAGGCTGTTGCCGTGCCTTGGTCATCTTTCCAGCCAGAATCATAGAATCATTGAGGTTGGAAAAGACCTCTGATCATTGAG